GGCTGTTGACAGAAGAAAATAGTTCAATGTTTAAGTATTTTCGGTGCGCAAAACGGACTCATTGCCGCTCTCCCCCCTTCCGCCTGGCCGGAGGGGAAATTCATCTGCATATCAATGATTTTTTTGTTCCAGCTCTGCCCATTTTTGACGGCTCGCGCGCAGCTGTCACGGACATCTGCTTCCACGCACACGACCGCCTCCCTTTCCCTCTGTCCACCCCTTTCCAAACCAAAGATACAGTACAATTATTCCCCACCCATCCCTCCCAGTGGTATGGATCTTAGGCACATCCGTCCACCAACCGGATGGATGAGGGGTCGTCATGGCAGCAGGGGAGGGACGCACGGCAGCGCAGGTGCCGGTGGGCTAATTGGAGGCAATCAGCTTTTCCCACAGTAAGCACCCCGACGTAAAAAGGTCCTGCCGACATTCCGCACAGAGCCCGCTCGTTTGCCCACTCTGCATTTTCTGATTCCCCTTTATTTATTTATTTTTAAAGGGGGGGGGGGCATACAGTAAGACAAAACCACCTGGTAATGCGGAGCCAATATGAGAGAGAGATAGAAATAGAGCAGGCTTGAAGACAGAGATATGTCCAGAGAGATAATCCCCCCTCTTTGAATGGACGATTTGGAGAAAGAGAACCTTTTCATCGCCCCGTCGTTTTGATATTTTATCGTCCTCCTGCCCTGCAGCAGACCTGGTGGTTTATTTCTCTTATCGTGACTGCCTCCCACATCACCGTGGACAAGATTTTAGCTTTCATTCGGGCATTAGGCACAAAGAAAATGATTAAAACAACAGGGACGATACTTCCAACGCAGAGATCATAAACCATCCTGTGTCTTAAAGGCAACAGGGGTCGATCGGATCGGTCGACTTGGAGAGGGCTTGTTAGATGGATAAAAAATGGCCTGAGCAGAAAAGAGCATCGAACAGATTTATCTAGCTATTAAGCTGTTTGTCTGCAAACCTTTGACTCAACATCTTCTCGATCAGCTTGGAAGCTCAAGCTCGTTAATTAGAACGGTATTAAAAACATTCCACGCGGCTGAATTTCTCCAAGGTCTTCCCTCTCCTCCGATTTGGTGAGTCCACGACGCGGCTTAATTAATTTGAGAGACCATCGAGGACCCGCTCCATAAATATCGGCGGCATGCTTTCGGTGGAGGAATCTGTGTATAGGCGCATTCCGTTTAAAACCAGAATGAGGCCCCCGGTGCTAATGAGAGCGAGGGCAGAGGAATTTTGACGTGGCCAGACGCTAAACACCCATCCCTGGTTCTGAAAGACACAAAGCCTCCACCCAGGGCCGGTAGCATCCGATTGAGAAACAAGGGGCAGTGTTTTGGCACCCGACAGCCACCTTTGAGGCCGGTTCCAGCAAAAGGATTTATGGGATGATCGTCTTCAAACAGCTCAGAGTGAAGGTGCTGCAGGAAAAATTTGTGCTGAGGCAGAACTTGGTTGAACAAAAGAGGATTTTATTGTCAGCTAGATGCATCAAGTCTGGAGAGGTCTGAGAGAAAACTCTGCCTAACTCTGGGTTCCCCTGCCCTTACATCATCCCATATCTGTGCTCTCGGTCTTATACCAGGCTATTTCCATCCAGGCGTGTAGTCAGGATCTAGTTAATCCATAGCATTTAACATCTTCGTCTTCTGTCCAGTTGGACTAGAACAGGGGTGCTCAATACGTCGATCGCGACCTACCAGTTGATCTCCAAGGTAGATCGCATGACAAGGTGAGGTGACATTGTCATGAACTGACGCTATACAAATAAAATTGAGTTGTTTTGAATAAAAACTAGACGTCCACCTATCAGCCATCCTGTCACTTGATTGATACACAGGACAACCAGTCAGATGACATCTGATTTTTTTCCGTACAATTCGGTCACTCTGCGTGCTCAAACAACAGCTAAGCTAACAGCTAAGCTAACAAGCTAGTCGTTAGCTACATCCTAATTTTTCGCTCGTTTTTTCCCTCTTAAACGTAAGATAGGTTATGAAAATGAGTGGGGGAGCTGGACCAAGTAATATGTAACCAAGTAAAATGTACATAATTATATTGTGGTGTGGTTATACATCAACATAAGTTGTAAGAATCCTCAATATATTTCTCAATAAATATAATGGGTAGATCATTTTGACTTGGTCATTTCAAAAGTGGCTCTCATGCTGAAAAAGTGTGAGCACTCCTGGACTAGAATATATCTATACCATAGACATCGTCCCAACACTCTACTTGGGCAAGGTGTTTCTCAAGTGTTTAAGCTCCATGAACAGGACAGTGTGTGCTTAACTTCGAGCTTCAGATACTACAGTGGGAAAGAGAAAAATGTTAACTTTATCTTTTCCAAAGGATGACCCGAATCGGATGACCAAAATGGAGCAACCAGAGCCTCGGTAGACTTATCGTTACTTTGCGTTCCTCTTGCTTCTCGGCGGTCGGAGACCGAGCAGAATCGGAGAAGCAGAGACGGCTGTGAGGAAGAGGAGGTTTAACGGGGGGGAAAGTGGGTTTAACAGGGCTGTAACGCGGCCGAAAAGAATGTCCTCTTTCCATGGGCCACTGGCTGGCAGAGGACTCACGGGCCCACAAAAAAACACGGCAACAGCGGAGAAATATATTTTTTGCGGCGTCAGAAGTAAAGTTTCCATCAACCGAGCTGTTTTGATGTTACTCAGGCCGAGCTGGGCACAGAAACAGGATCCAGTCCAAAAGTGACGAAAGGTTTTGCGCATTTTGTTATTCAAAAAGCACCTTTGAAGACCTCCCGTACCGCAAAAATACACACAAAAACATCTGTGGTTCAGTTGGCATCGCTGCCAGCCTGCCGGGAAAATTCAAACCTAGCATATATTATCAGTTTTTCTATTTAAAAAAGTGGCCATGGCTCTGTGGGTCGAGCAAAATCCAAGTATGGAGACTATGAAATCGGCCCATGGTTCTTTCTCTCTCTCTCACCCCTTTACTGTTGTTCCATTTTCAAATAAAGCCCATTAAAGCCAACACATCATTTACTTACAAAAGGATAGTCATTTTACAGGGGGAAAAAAGCCAGGACAACACACTAAATGTCTCTTAGCAGCATAAAGCAAATTTACCTTAATGGATGAGTCGTAACTCTCTCTTGAAAACTACTGTTTAAAAACTTTAGCAACATTCTGTTGGTACAAAAGACCAAAAACACAAAATCCTCTTAATAGAACCACAGTCGTTTTCTATATCTTTTACATTATTCCGGCATTTCTTTAATGTCAAGAAAGAGCTGTCTTTGAATTCGAATCCAAAGGCCTGAAAAGCACTTAGCATAAAATGCTAACTATGACATCATCTGATGAATGCTTGAAGAGGTTTAAGTGTACCAGACGAGAGCTTAGTCATTCGTAGGGTTTTTTTCGGGTGACATATTAGCTGTCCGTCCCGAACCTTGATGACCAAGGGACATAACAGAGACGACAAAACCTAAAACTAAACTCCCGGATTGCCGTCTCTTCGGAATGCTAATCAGGTTACGCTCGACTCAGTGGAGCACGCCCCGATAGGTTGACGGAAGAAGCAAAAAATAATGGGGATTCACGATCCAAACAAACCACGACTGCCATGTAAATAAGGCTATAATCATCAGCCTGCTCTGACAGCTTCCCGCCGTTCATTCTTTGGAGATAAAAAAAAAAAGCCGGCACCTTCTATTTCCTCGCTAAGCAGTTACAGTCTAAACCTTTTGTCTGACTTAAACTGATGAGTCATGTGTGAAAGTTCCCACATAAAAGCTCCACGCATGTCCGACAGAGGTCCCAGCATGCACCTCTTTTCAACAGAGGCTTTGCAGGTCTTTCTGAGACGCCGAGGGAGACGCCACACTCCGGAAACCAGCCTGGAATGAAAGGAATAGACGAAATGAAAAGAATAATAACAGACGAGAAGGGGGATTAACCACAGCGACAAAAAAAATAAATAAGAGAGAACTTGTTGGGCCTGTTGCTGAGTACACACAAAAATTCTAAAGCGGCGAGAAGGCAAACGTGCCTTCTTTTGTCAGCTGGCTGGAACTTTGTTTACCTCAGCACGCCAGCTCCGAACCGCCGCAGGATTTTCTGCATGAGTGTCTGGGGCTTCTTCCAAATTATGCATTAGCATACAAACGGAATCTGCAGAGGAATACTACGAAGGACCGGAACTGGCAGAATTAAAAATAAGAGAATTTGTAAATGGCAATACACTTAAAATGTACCGTTCAATTAAAAAGAATACAAATTTGATTTTTCTGCTTTCATTTCCATATACCATTTTAGACTTTTGTTTAAAATATCTAATTTAATAACTGTACCACATGTTTTTAATTGAATTGACTATCAGATTCCTTTCTCTACTTATTTCTAACACATTATTCGTTTACCTTTTTTGACGCCATTGGACTATTTTGATATTTTTCTATGTTTTTCATTGATATATATATATATACAGTATATATATAGTTGCATTCATGCTTTGTTTTTTGTTTCCCCTCCTGAATATCCATCCTTACATCGTTTTACAAGCTTTTTCATTTCCTCATCTTTCTTCTACATTTGCCTGTCTCTTTTTTGTTTTGTGTCTCATAACTTGCCTGCATATAATGTGGACTGCCCTTCAATCTGTCTCCAGGGGTCAGTTTATCCACTCTTGGTCAGTCAAAAGGAAGGCGCATCCATTCGGTGGTCAACTTTTCTTTCACTGACCGCAAAAAGACTTGAAATATCAATGACCCAGACACCCCCCAAGCATTTGTTTTTTTATTTTTTTTTAGATTTGAAGGCTTCAGCAGGCAGCAAATATTCAGGTCTACCAACTCCAAATCACTGGACCAGCCCCAAAAAAACAAATACTCATCAATGTCTATTACTTTTCGAGACAGCAACGTGCCTCATTTCTTCAGAAATCACCTGAGTTGCTTTTGTCTAGACTTGCTGGGTGTGTTCTGCTGAAATGAAGAAAAGCGCCGGCAGGTATGATCATGTGATCATGCCTGAACTTAGAGGCTGCTCCAGTCCGCTTGCCATGAAGTTGACCTTTTTAGCTTTTACAGATCCTGGAGCAAGGGGCTCGTCACGAGCATCAGTCTGTAGAACGCACTGCAACAATTGGAGTCTGAAGATGTAGAATGTTTTTTTTTGCTCCTTCCTTTTGATTGATCAGTAGCTGAAGCTGACCCCTGGAGGCAGATTGAAGGCCAGCCCACCTTATTTTGCATAATGGAACAGAAATGGATGAGAAAAATGTTGTTGTTTTTTTAAAGGAGGCAGAAAAATCATTTAAAAAATCATGGAAATATAAAGGCGTCTATTTATTATTACATTTGGAAATTATGGTAATGATACTCAATTATGTCTATTTTTTTAATTAATTGGTAGATTTTAAGTGTGTTGGTAATGCTGCCAAATTTAGTCCCCCATAATCTCCACACTCAGGAGAGAAAATTAAAGATGCTGACTATTAAAATGAACGAAAGCAGGTGAATATATTTGCGTTCCTTATGAGGACAACATTGAGATGTTTGTTTGTCCTCTTCAGGTTTAGAAGGGCTTTCCATTTAAACGGAGAAGAGAATCTCATTACCTGAGTGTTGCCCCTGCCACGTGTTTACACGCTTTATTCCCAAGAAGCTTCAACACTCCTTCATTCAAACACTTTTCTCCATCTCTCTCTCTCCCAATAGCCATTTCTACCAAATCCGTCATTCGACAAAGAAGAGGCTCCCGTCAAAATGACAAACAGTGAGGAGGGCTCAAATGTTGGCGTATCTCAGAGGTTGGGATTGATAGTTGAGGTTCGGATTCCAGTGACAGGCCGACAGAAAGGGGAGACGGGAGGCGGAACTGATGGAAACAGGCATGTTTCAGGAATCCCGCCGAATTCCCGCGGGACACACGTCCATCTGAATGCGTAACACATGACAAGGCCGAGATGGGGAAGGAAAAGCCGACACACAAAACAGGCGGGAATGACGATGACGGACCCCGACTCGGGGAACGACGGCCTGCCCTGTCACATACCTGAAATTTCTAGATAAAAGAGCAACGGAGTTGAAAATCTCGTCGAATTGTGTACGAATTAGCATAAAGTAATGCCGCGCTTATCAGATTAGCTGTCAGCGTGTTCCATCCTGAAATATTTTTGTCCGTTGACAGCACGAATTGTGAAAATACGCACAGGGACGTTTGATGTGCCTTTAAAAAATGGTAAAATTCTCTTTAAAACTGCTGTTAGAATTCAAGAAAACTGTTCAAAAAGACACTGATGGATTGTTTACATGAGAAGAAATGTAATCGTATTCCTATACTGTGAATATGTCACAATGGAAACTTCATTCCAACAGATATTCATTCTTAAAAGCATAAAAAAAGACATTACGACTCAGATTTTTGAGCAATAGTCTACTCACAACACATGGACTAATTGATTCTAACTGCACAATTAATGGTAGGTGTTCCTCACGATATGTCCCGAATCACATACAAAAGAAAACAAATGGATAAATCAGACACATGGGATGGAAACGGTGCGGAGCTTGAAAACCTTTTTTCATTAATCCAAGGCTTTAAAAGTCAAAGACGTTGTTCGGATGGAAACGTTCACACAATCAGCCTACGAAAACTCATCTCGGAGCACTCAGTGAAATTGACTTATATTACGAATAAGCGGCGAGACCTCCAGCCTAATCCTATTCAGCGGGTTTTTTGTGTAATTATGCAAGTGCATCACGCTGATTTCTCTGGCGGGACGTCTTTTTTCGACGGTATTCAAACGGTGACCTGAGAAAAGATTTCTTGTCTGCCGATCGCAATAACAACGTTCAGTTTAAAAGCTGCAAAAATCTCAAAAGTCCCTGAGCTACATTTCTCAACATCGTTTCATATAATGGTCCGAGCATTTTCTGTTGAAATACATCCATTTGTTCCTTCCCTATTGTAAATTATAGTCTATATGTGAGCACCAGGCGTCTCTCTTATGTGACACACTGTGGTGGAGAGAGTATTTCACCACCTGAATGTGATGCTTCCCCTTAAATCCGAACGCTTGAGGCTGCTCAGAACAATTTATCTCAACAATGAGCCACCGCAAAAAAAAAAATTGGAGTGGCATTGCCCCCTTTTATCGAATCAACTAAAAGAGGATAGATGCTGACGGATTTATGTTATCAACGTTTATTTTTTACTATTTTGTTCATGTTCTTGAGCCCCATTTGAAGTTTTATAGTCTTATTCGCACTTATTCGCTCTTATTCTGTGCGGATGCTTTGACAAATATGAAGGCTGAACAGTGCTATAGATGGCCTTTTCAGAAGTATAAACCCATAAAAGTTGCAAGAATCTATCATCTTTGGGAAGTCTGTGGGTAAGCAATGGAGTGGATTATGTTCCAATCTCTACCACTTATAAGATATTCAAATGTCATCTTTCCCCTTTCTGTATGTTTCCGTGCTCCTTCACTCTGTACTAGCTTAAGATTTAGTTTTAAACATGAAGTGGTTGAGATTAGGAATTTAAAAAAATTAATGTTTATAGTTTAAATCCATCCAGGTTGTTTTTCTTTGGGGGTAATGACTTTTTTTCTAGGTGCCCTGTGACCTTAGATTGTAATGAACGATAGGCTACAGTATGAATAATAGAACTTCTACAGATGGAAGAGTGTGATACATAAGCACCATATATTGGGAACAAATATAGTACTAATTTATTCAAAAGCCAAATAGAAGTATTCATCCCCAAAGAAATATTCAACTGCCCATCAGTTTATAAAAACAGAACAATCAGGTTGTAGTTATAGTTAGTTATGAAAAAGGCTTATCACAGGTATTCAAAATATAATGGTTATAGTTAGTTACTTATCAGGGTTTGCATGAAAAAGGACAATGTGATGTTGCATTGCAAAAACAAATCCTTGTCCTTTTTGGTTAATGGCTGTTGAATGTTTCCCTTCATCTTCCCGGGGAAAGCTACAAGTCTTTTTGTATATCTTTCATATTTTCTGTGTGAGTGGGTTATAACATCACAGCCTCCCATTCAAATCCTCGACCCGCATATCAAGCGGCCCTTTAATGCCAGTTCCGTTTACATTAAAGTTCAGGAGACCGGCTATCCGACCGTCACGCCACTTTCTGGCTCCTTTTCATACCGGAGAATGCTGAAGTCACCTGGAGCCTTCCGCTGTGACACGCTGCACTCCAAACAGTAATTGAATTTGTCACCGCTTTGCATCTGTTTTTCCCTCTCTCACGGGCACACATCAATCACGCCAAAGCAAACCTCGTTCAGAGGAGGACAGGGAGACCAGAGGAAAACGTCCTGGGAAAGTGTGTGACACGGCTCCCAACGCAAAGCCCCTGTCTCTTTAATGTAAAACGAACAAGACTAAAAAACTCCTAAAAAATATGGACAGTTCAAATGCAAGAAATATTGGTCTGGAGATGGTTATTCTTTAGTCTTTTTTCCCTTTTTCCTCCTACATGCACTGTCACGCCTCCACTAATACATCATTGTGCTAATTGCTATAGACATGAGTCACAGACAGAGAGTATGCTTTTTTAAAATCAAATAGAATAACTGAATAAATTGATAACGTTTTTTACCTTAAAATAATCATAACTGGTAGGCTTCATGTTTTTCAACAGGTAGTTATCAGAATCAGAATTTATTAGTATTTTATACAAGGGATTTGAGGTGGTTGTGGTTCAGAACATGCAACATATACAGAGAATTAAGAAAAAATAAGAGATCATAAATTAAGTGTAAATACAAAAACTTGAAAAATAGTGTAAATAGTAAAAATAGAGTTATTCGTATTGTGCTGGCTCTAGTTGTCATGTGTTTGGGGATCCGATTTAGCGGATTATTCTTTGTTGAACATGGTCACAGAGATCTATTTGGCCTTCAGACATTGCTAGGTAAAAGATTCTGGCTAAACTAACCATATTTAAACTAAAAAGGTAGAGAAAATAAAAACTGCTATTTAAACTGGCAGCCACTTTGGCTTTAAGCTTACATTTCTGTCTTTTCCTAATGATTTTTTTTATTATTCGTAATGGAATTAATTAATGCACATCAGTCATGACCATTTTTAAGAAGTCTAAAGCCCACAGTATCAATCGCCTCTTACCATTTGAAAGGATCTGAGGGTTTGATAGGAATTCAATACCTTTCACCTAAAAAAAAAATCTGATGGATGACTCTGTTTTTGTAACTGTGAGGGGGAAAAGAAAGAGTGCTCAGAATCAAATTAACTTCCTGCTAATTAACTCAATTTGCGTCACAGATAGTTTGACGGAGAACTAGCTAAAAGCAGCACGGGCGCGTGCTTTGTACAGTGTAGAGGCCTCATAATGGCACTTGTGTTGTCAGAATAAATCATGTTTAGGACAAAGAAGGCATTGTTTCAATGTAGTGATTAATTAAAGGGTTGTAAGAATGAACACTCTCGTGATTAATGTTAAACAGTAGGAGTCAAAGGTTTGGACACCCCCATTCATTAACAATTCCTCGTGAGAAGTCGATCAGATTCCTTTTACCTTAATCCTAACCTTTCTAAGAATATTTTAGATCTAACATCTAACTTTTTTTGCCCTCAATAGCTGGTATCATTTAGGGCTACAGCTTTTGAACCTGATCCAATGTAAAGCCTGGAAATACATTTAGAGGTATTTTTTAAAAGCTCTAAATTACAACATGGACATATTTAGAAGAAAACGTGAAAGCCTAAATGTGTATATATGATGATCAAGCAAAGGTGCGTTTTTTCCTGTCTGTCTATGGCCCCACCCTCACAACCCAAATAAACTGGCACTACAATTTGAGTTCAACTGTAAATACATCTGTGTCCCCCCTTAAAGATCTGGTGGAGGTTGCTTAGAAGAGGAGGATATAGGATTTCCTGTTCAGACTCTTGAGCCTGCAACATAATCCTAGACGAGTGAGAAGTGAACAAGAAAGGTGACGGACAGATGCTCCATATAAGATAAGGAACAAAGAAAATAACTGTTTTGCTTGTGTAAATTTTACTCTTTAAAAGTTTAAGATTACACGAAAGTGGGAATAAAGTCATTGTGAAGGTAAAAAGAAGGAAAAACTCTCAATGATACCCTATAGGCATTATACTGAGACGTATTATACATACGTCTCAAATCACCTAAAACATACATGGCAAATGCATAAAAACTGTCCATTTCCAAACGTACTGGGTATGAAATTGGACAGGACCTATTAAGTGGTTACATCCAATCTCTGTGTCATTTCATTTTCAGAAAAGAATTTAAATTGATTTTATTTAAAAAGTCTTTCTTCAAAATGATCTGTCCAGTTTCTGTCCACCTTTTTCATTCCATGACATAAAGAAAAAAGGTTAATGGGAAAACTTTGACATCCCTTTCCAGATCTTCCTCGAGCATATACAACATAATACACGTATTATTTGAATATTCCCATCTAAATCCTCCTGTCAGTAAAATTTTAAAAAAGCAGAATGATCATATCATATGTTACAGATGCTTAAGCTTGTTTAAACTTGGTTTTGAAATCCACAATTTGAAAACACTTGGCGTAGCCCTTTCACTCGTCTGATTGTGTAATACTTGTCGTTAACATCACGTATTGTGTTCATTCCCTGAACGATGTGTGAAAAAACTATACTGAAAACTAAAACTAAACCAAAAAAAATGTGAATTATGGATGTCTATCATTGGCGACACGGACTAGCTGTCACGAAATCCTTTAAGAAATCATCCTCCGCGAGGCGTTCATTTACTGGCTTTTTGTCAAGGCGAGTGACTGACAGACTAACGACGAGAGGCGACACGAGAGATCCCACAAATAAGATTAATTCCCATTTACAAACAGGGGGGGAGATAAAGTGACAATGTCACCATGACTGGCATGTGTCTGTGCCAGACCTTTGAAACATGGGCGAGCATGGCAGAGGGTGGGGGCCGGGGGGGGGGGGGGGGGGGGGGGTACTCTGAATGCAGTGTGCAGGAACCAAACCACTGGAAGACCCCGACAGGATTCCAACGTGGGTTGCTAGGGGCAACGCAGGCCGGAACTTTCAACCGTATGACAGCTGAACTACAGAAGACGCGTAGGAGAACAAAAAAACAATAAGAATGAGAAAGAAAAGGGGGGGGGGGGGGAGGAAAAAAAAAAATACCACGTTTAAAAGAAAAAAAAAAAAAAAAAAAAAAGAGGAGAAAAGGGGGGGGGGGGGGGCAGCCAAAAAAAGCTCTCCATTTACAGAGACAAAACTACAGAGCAAACAATGAATGCACGCTGGGTTTATTTTCCCCCCTTGATAGAGGAAAGAAAGTTCGGAAAACGACTGGGATGTTAAAGGCTTTGTCTGCCAGCGACTTGTTTTGGCTGCCTCTTGGAAAACCAGTTACCCCTCTCTGTCAAAACACAGAAATCCTCATATTAAGTAACTATTCCAGAGCTTATAAGTTTCCAGATGACACTATTACAAGCGAACGAGCAGTTGTTTAGCAACAGACAAATACCCGTCTCATGCAAAGATACTAATGCGGCAACAAGCAGAGAATGGTATCCGAAGGCCGGTGCCAAACCTCTTAACGGTCTGTCAGACAAAACGTGTCGTGCTGTTTTTATTTGGCCGTCTAGCTGTTCACCTGGCACGACTAGATACGGTGTTGTTTTTCCCGGTTTCCCGTGGCATTAAAGTGACAAACGCTACCTAACTCCTCAGGGCCAAGAGCAGAACCCCGTGCCAGCCGAGGGTTGTTGATACCAGGATGAAGGCCTTGGAAGAAGATCTTGTTGGTGGACCGGCTCAAATCGTTCGGGGGTTTTCAGGCGTTTCACTTTCTATTTCTGGCCTCGTACATAAAAATACCTCGGCGCTAATTGCATCCAAATATGCCACTTACACCCTCTTTACATCACTGTTATTGTCAGATGATGATTCAAGCTAATGAAATCCTTTCCAATCGACTCGGGCTGTGTTCGCCCTTACTGTGATTTAGCTTGGCAAGAGGCATTGCTAAAAATTGATAAATCTGATGATACAGGGAAGAGATGGAGAGGCCAAAAGAGAAAGCAGACGGCATAGATTCGGCTGGAAGACTGACTCTGATCGACCACCGGCATTCAGATTCTACGGAACAAGGTAAACTAGAGAACAATAATCTCAATAATGGAGATTTGACACCCATTTTTGCTTATTTACTTATTTAACTTTGGCACCAATGCTTCTAAATAGACTGACCTTTATTGTTTATGGATTCATTACCTTGATTAGTTATTAGCTTAGAATTGCTGCAAGTTACACTTTTTGGGAATGAGATATCAATTGAGAGTTTGGTCCGAGGGCGTCCTTAGATTTAGGACCTTTGTCTAAAAAGAACTAAAGCAAACCCAGAAAATATACGGCGTAAACAAAACATGAGGCAAAACTACAACCCTTTGATGTCAAAGTCCCTATAAAAACGATCCAGTGGTGATGGAGCCGTTCCAAAACGCTTTCCTTTGAAATTTAATTTGCCAGCCGCCTTATCTTCACCTGGAAAAATATGCATTTTATTCCGACGACACGGGGCCTTACGGCTGTGAATCTTTAGAATCTTCACGCGGGACAGAGGCCGCTCATCCGTGACAGGAAGCCCGGAGCCCGTTTTGACAATGTCCTGGAGACGCCCTGTCGTGTTTCCACTGGTGGTTGGTTGCCCAGCCGGACCGGGTGACGCCGGTCTTTTGGGAATTTCGGAGAAGCTGGAGGGAGGTCGCATTAAAAAGCTCCAAAGTGGAACCGAGCAAAACGGTTTGATGATACAGTGCTGGGGTTTTTTTCTTTTTTCTTTTGGAGAATCTTTTCAAGCAGGGTGAACAAGGACAGACAAGATAATGACAAGCAAGTCTCCCCTCACATGTGCAAACAATTTTCCTGGAGAGAAAAACCAGGGGCCGAATAAACACTGTTCGGCACGTGAAGCGTGAACAAAACGCCTCTCACATTAAGTCAAGACGAGGTGTGTGTGTGTCTGTCTGTGTGTGTGTGTGTGTGTGGTGGCTGATCCGTGTGAGCACACCTGCGTGAGCTAGGAATTAGAATGCAAAGAAAGGCACGCGGCTTATTAGAAAACATTACGGTTCCCTCTAAATACTCTATTTAAATTCATCCACGCCGTGTTTAGATTAGCCATGTCCTGCGGGCCGACGGCGCCCGGATCCGATTGGCTAAAATGACGCGTGCGGTGTATGGCAGGTTAAAGGGGGTGGGAACTGTAGAGAACAACAGCTGGAATGAACATGAACGTGAATGTTGATGGCATTGTTTTCTCGTTAACTGTCTTTGACCTTTATGCATAAAGCGGGTTATTAAAAACACTCCACGCCAGTTTTTGGCTTTGGAAGATGTCGACGGCCGTCCATCTGAAGGGAAATGTAATGAATTTGTCTTTCATTGTGTCCCTCCCGGATGCCTTCTTGTACTGCTGTTTAAATAGACAACATGCCCTTAAAGCAGCTCTTTTGTGGGGAATCGGGGGGGACGGGGAAAGAAGGGGGGGGTTGGGGAAAGAAGGGGGGGGTTCTCAGTCATGATTGGAAAAGGCTGTTAAATGTAAAAACGGCCGATTTTCAATGTTGTTTAAAGTGTGTAGATATGAGCCGAGTATGGAGAAATTTAAATGTTTGTTGTAATGAATTACGTCCATTTAGTTTTAGAAAAGTTTGGTTTAAAATGTCCATTTTGAATTGAAAAGATGGAGTCAAGCCTCACAGTGACTCTGTGTTTATTTAGTGTAATTCATCATTAATCTCTAGATTAATATACATCTACATTAATTCTGCTTTTAAATTGGAAAAAAATATCTTTAAAATGAACGTGTACTCCTTTGAAGAAAATGAATTCAGTCAATTCGAACATCCATCCATTCATTTTCTATACCGCTTGATGCAAACTCCCCAGTGGAACCCATTTTCTGTGGTCAGTTCCACAAAAAAAGTCTGAATCCTGTGTAAAATATGCATTTAAAAAATAAAAAGTAATCTAAAACAAACCAAATCCGAACACGGCACCCTGTGCAACCCACTCAATTCCCACTAATAGCAACAAAACATGAAAAAAAATCCAGTTACAGCCTCAGAGTGGTAGCTGTAAGCCCACAGGTAAGACACGCCTAGGTTTGCGCCGAGTCGGCTTTTTTTTTTTTCCCCGTCCATCTCTGGCAACTCTCCCGGGAGGCGACGCTTTTATTGCGACCTGCTCCATGCTCTGCGCGTCTTTGATCTCGGATTATTTATGTACACGCGTGGCAAAGAAAGCCCCCTTGATATCATAAAACAGCCCAGCTCTCCTCACCTGAGGTTTCCGGGGACTAACCCTAAAAATCAAAGGGCTGTGTATCGGGGTGCTTCCCTGGCCGCCATAAAAAAAAGCCATGGGATTTTATGGCATGTATGAAGATTTATGATTTATACAGTCAGAGCACTCCCCCCTTTTCTTTTACTTATTTCCACCCAGGAGGGCTCTTAAACCAGGAAGTAGCAGAAATTACCCACAATTCCCCAGTGGGAGTTGAGGGTGGGCCGACAGTTTGGTCTGTCAGCGCCCCTTTTGGCGCTCATTAATCATACAGACTACTGTGGGACGAGCCACCAGGCGCATATGCTACACACACACACACACCCACACAGACATACACATTCAGAGATTCTCTTCGAAAATAGGTGTGGTCACAATGCCAATTTTTAATCTGTCTTTCTCCCTGGAAGAAAAATCGATTTACACAAAATAGAAAATCCCCCTTTACGGGCCGAGGGCTGTTTCCAGATGCGCACATCAGGGACACACGCGGGCCGTTCATCACCAGAGTGAGGAGACAGAAATAGATGGAAGACGAGCACGGCTCAGGGTTCCCCGGGGCTAGTCGACAACTCGGAAAAAAAGGAGAGACAGGCACAAAGAGAGTCCTTTCAATGGTGGGAGGTTCTCTACTCGTCCTCCAGGGCTCATATGAACTACAAACATGCATGCATGTTCAGGTTTTTTTTAAAATATGATTGCTTTTTTACCCAGGGTTTTTAGTTCCTTTAATGCTTTTTGGACACTGTAACCCAAGAATAGCGGTTTACAAAAGATTTTCTTTATCTGATGCGTAAAGAAATATGATGGTGACATAACAGAAAAGTTTTTTTTTTTTTTCAAATCATCACAAATATCAACAAAGAGAGCCAGTTTGGATATGTTTCTTTAAAATAGTCCTGATTCTGAGGCTGTGATCTTGCACAAATCAAGATCCCAGCCACTTTGGAGACGGATTCAAAAGAAAAAGAATGCATTTTAACCTGCGCTGACGTTTGTACTTTGTTGTGAGGATAGAAGTTTCAGCAAGCTAGCTGTCTGATAATTTGGTTGTGGATGTTCATCGTGCCAAGAGGAAGCAGTTATTTGCTTTGCTAAACTTTAGAATCTTCAAATCGTCCACATCTGGACTCGGTTCCTCAAAGTTTGCCATTTGAAAACTCCGCTTTGTGAATAAAGCACTAAAATCTAGCGTCCTGTCACAATGTTTTGCGGATCATGACAGAAACAGTAACGGATAATTACAGACTGAATAGTGACATGATTTATTTTCCTGTATTAATTATCTTTTCTCATCTTACCTATTTTTTCTTATTTTGCCAATTTATTAGAAAACCTTTTTTTTAAAGAAGACCCAACTCCTACATTGTTTCTTCATGAATTGCCGCTTACACACCCATGCATGAGCATGTACCAGCATAAATTCTTCTCCTTAAATAAACCCGATAAGGTCCTACTATGGTGTTAATCCATCAACCAGCCAATCAAAGCTGGCCAAAGCAAAGTCACTCTCGCTGCTACGGCGATGGAGGAAAGTACACATGGAGCCGTTTTGAATAACGGGGATTTTTTGGTCTAAAACTCTGTGGGCTATTGACTCTGTGGAAGCACTTGGCTTTGTAGGAGCTGGCAGTTGGCCAAATCCGATCACATGAAGCTATCGGCCTGAAGAAGACACACCATTTCAGAAAAGCCCAGGTGGTACACACATATTTACTGTATAACTATATATACACACATCTGTGTGTGTATACTTGTTTGACTATCCCTTATCAAGATAGATTTGACAGCAGATGCCCTCTAAAGAGTGGAACCTTTCATCAGGGATTTACGTTTGGAAGCTCAATGACTCAAAAGGATAGAATGAAACAGGGATAGAAGCGGAGTTTGGTTTTTACCTTCCATCAATCTGCGCGTTGCTCGTAAAATGTCAGCCTAAAGGGAAATCGAATGGCACCGTTGGCCCGTGTTTATTAGGCCGGGATGAACCGGGTCCCGTCGACCTTTTGGCGCCCGCCCCCCCCCCCCACGCCGTGTTAATTGCCGAGGAGATCCAACTGGCAGGCTGTGCTCCAGCGCAAGGATCCCCGCGGACTCATTTTCTAGCTTAGAAAAAGGAGGGAGAGCCTGAAGTCCAGCGGTGGAATATCTCCTCTTTTCTTTTTTTTCATTACTCAAATACCAAGTCTTAAATGTCAAAGTGTTAGCTCTACCAGCTACTTTGGAACCAAATCCTCAACTTTGGGCCTTCTGTTTTTATGTTTGTTTTTTTAATAAATAATCACAACCTGTGCTCAATTTAAAGCTCTGAAGGATTTGCTTTAGCCTCTGGACTTATTTGATCAAAGCTTTATTTACCAAAGTCAAAATCCCCCCTCGGTTTTCCCAATTCCCTGAAAAAAGCTAAAAATAGTAGTGCTTTTAATGGTCACACTGACGGTCAATTGCAAGCCACTTCTAAAAAGTATGACCTGATATCGGTTAGTGATAATAGCAGCTTTGTTCTAAAGGGGTATAATAGGCCATGTAGCCTATTGCATATGAAATAGTCTCCCATTTGCACAGATAACTCTTCTCTCTATTTTGTTGTGCTCTGTTTCTATTAGACTTTCCATCACTGCCAGTGGAATAACTGGTATTCTGCCTGCAGCTATTAGCCTTTTTTCTTGATTTTGAAGCTCTGGCAGTCTGTGTGCCAGACTCGGTGAACTCCAGGGTCATGCCTGCTCTAAATAGTAAAAGGCGTAGGCTCTGAAACATAGGCTTCTCCTGGTCCCTGCTCTGATCTAACGCGGAATCAAACCGAGGTTAACTTTGCTCACTCCAGCAGATCACTTTGCAGAATATTTATTGACTACATTTGCTTCCTTAAAACCAAATGTTACAGCCTCAATAAAAAAAAGAAGTTTTTGCTATGTTTTTCTTACAGTTTCCTACGCATATGCACCTTCAGATCTGAATAGTTACTATTGTACATGTGTACGCCAATTCAAATGGGATGCATTTCCAATAGTCTTTGGGCATTTTAGACTTTCATCCCACTCCAAATCCCTTACTAGTCTGTTACATTCTCTGGTTCTAGTTAGCATGTTATGTCCGAATATTACTAAATATGTTACTACATGCTAACAAAATTCTTCATGATCACAGAATGCCAATATTTAAATGTATACAGTGCTATTCCCATTATGTTATCTCATAGTCATCTCACAATTTACACCCATGCATTGTTATTATTGGGCATGTAGAAACAAACGCTCTTATTACTCATTTTCTTTTCAGATTGCCTAGATATTGATAGCGCAATTAGTTACAGGCTGTTTCAGATAACCTACATTTCTTAAAAGAATAGTGAGAAATAAACTACTTGGATAAATAAAATTATATTAAAAGACAGGGAAAGACAGGCTATTGTCTGTCAAAGTCAATCTGCCACCGTTTACATGCACATTTTAGGAAAATGTTACACCTATACTTGTGTTGTATGAAATAATTGATGTAAACAATGGTTGAGAATCCTTCCAATTTTCAAAATCTGGACCTCTGGTTTGGTTTAAAGTCAACAGATGGAGTTCACGGAGTTGAACTCCACGTGGGACGTTATTTATCCACCAGTTTGTCATGAAAATCGAGCGCATGTGTTTCATTGTCATGTTATTTCCTCTTCCCTGAACTCTCTCTTTCGGTGCCAGGGCTGCCCGTGGCAACTGCCAGCAACACAGCAAGGTGTCACACCAATAGTTGCACGGACAAAAAAAAGAGCTTTGATTGCAAGTGATGTCCCCACCAGCCACCATCACCCCCCCCCACCCGCTCCCCATCCTGGTCTGCCAATATGCATCCACAAAGGCTGCCCTTGTTTACATAATGTAGATCCTCTCATCTGGCAGAAATACCCCAAAAATCGGATGACTTCAACTCCCTTTTCATATTTAACATGTTACATTGACAACAACGCCACAGAGGGGGAACGAGTTCAGCAGATGTGGACATCATGTTGTGCTATTTCGGTCTGGGCTGACATCACTCTATACCGCCCGGGTGGGACTCCTGCAGTGTGCATGTGTCTGAAATCTACTTTTCTGCTACTATTTTGGCGACTGCGTCCGTTCGCGTTGGGGCCAAATTACGTTTCAAAGCACAAATAAGATAATATAGTAGGAAAAAAGTAAAGCAAATAGGCAAAAATGAAGAAATTAAATAAGGTTTCAGTCATGGCTTTTGCTGAATCAAGCACTGGGCTGTTTGGTGCCTTGCAGAGTGGCACCGTGCGCGCACAGACCTGCGGGGCTCCATCTCGGTCTGTGGTCATTGCAAACGTTGAACAAAAGACTGGGCACTTTATTGCTCCCGTTGCGTTAATGAAAATCAACCTGGGTCCAACCAACCCAGTGTGCACAAACAGTGAGATGCTCGAGACCCCCGATGGCAACTTAAGTCCTGGGCCGTGCGTCAGTTTGGGTTTTGACGCTTAGAGCGTTTGTTTCCACCCAATCCCGCAGCCGTTTGCCATCCGCCGCGCGCCCAGGTGGAACACCTGGATGCGTAAAAAAGGCAGCGCCCCCTTCGTCCTCCCCCCCTTTAGCCCCAGCAGCCCGCGGCCAGAGCCATCGGTTTTTATTCTGGTGATGCGCGCACAGAGGCTGAAGCGATCGATGTTTGGGAAGGTGACAAAGGGAGAAGTGGCAATGGGGTGGCGCGCGATCCAGCGGCTCGTGACGGGACAGGAGAGCAGAGAAGGGGATGGGAGAGTGGAGGAAGTGGGGGTGGGGGGGGGGATAGGGTACTTACGCTGCTGTTCTCTCCTGTCCAGTGGACCATCGCCTGGTTGTGGGTCGCGTCTCCCTTGAGCACGAACGAGCTGCTGAGCAGGGACAGCTGTTTATCCCAGGACGAGGCTCTCCTGAGGCGGAGGAGAGGGGGGGGTGTAGAGCCCCCCGTCCGCGAGCCCGGCGGCGGGGAGCCTCTCCCTCCGCCGCCCGTGTTGAGCGTAACATCCTCCCCGGCGCGCCGGTTTAAAGCCCCCCCGCTGTCGCCGCGCACGGGTCCCGGCAGCGGTGCCATCCAGGCCGAGGCGGTCAGCAGAAGGACGCAGAGTTGCGTCGCGGCGGAGAGCGGTTCGTCGTGGCGCAAAGGTGCCATGCTTTGCGCCGTAGTAGTAGTGCCCGTGCCGCGGAGACTGATGGAGATACTGCTGATGCGCGTGGAAGATAGATATGTATACTGTAAGCCGAGAGAGAGAGAGAGGGAGATAGAGAGAGAGAGAGAGAGAGAGGGTGGGAGGGAACTGAAACGAAGGCAGACAGTGTGAACAACGGCCGCGTCTCCGTGCCAAAGCGCGGATCCGCAGGACGGCGCAGCGGTGCCATCTGCCGTCCTGCAGCTGCAGCTTCCCGCTCCCTCCCCTCCCTCCCTTCCCTCCCGACAACTCAATCCATCTTCTGGAGACGTTCTAACCACATCGGGGAATTCAGACGCAGACAGTGCCAACAGCGCGTATACTGCTTGTGACACATTCTATATGACTCGTGACGCATCCACAGAAACAGGCTGAGAAAATAATCATTTGTAATCCTGCTTATGCAAAGCGTTATTTTTCTATGTACATGGCACAAAGGGCACTGTACTAGACTGTGAACTCAGTCCAGTGTCAGTCAAGAGTTCAATAGTTGTGGTGCTTTAAAGCCATGCCTTGCTTTAGGTGGCGTCAGCAGTCTTCATTTAGATATTAAAAGTTTATTTGACTTTACAGGGCATGACGGCGATTGCAAATTGAGAAAAATCTTTGTTATACCTTATGTTGGCCCGATTCTTTAGTTGGAAACCTGAGAATAGGCCCGAGTAGATCGGAAGTATAAAAAATGACATTTATTAGGTCACAGGAAAAGTATATCAGCGCTGGGCTCTTCACAGACAAAAACCTCTCTCTGGGTCTCAGTTGGGAAAGAACCCCAAACTCCGATGTCATGGGTATTTGTTTCCTGGGCTGGGCACACCCCTCAAAAGGACAAGACACTACTGAGTGCTTATTGGCCAGTTATTTACCAACCCTAATTAATGCAGGTAACCTTGCAACGTGGTATCAAAGTTTGTGTGTGTGTGTGTGTGTGTGTGTGTGTGTGTTTGCGTAATGGCATGTGTCTAAAGCAACAGAGAGAGAAAAAGAGAATCTGTGGTTACAGCCAGAGAATTTAACACAAAAGTATTGTTCTAAAAGGAATAAGACAATCAGTAATTTACATAGATTATATAATAGCATACTATGCTAAAGTGAGTAATTATGGCCAAATTCTAACACTTATAGTATGTTTGTAGTACATGTAAAAGGCTGCTGGGCTCTATGTGGAATGGTATGGCCATGTCTTCATGCGGATTAGCAAGCGGCCTATTTGAACAGGAGGCTTGAGACAGAGATCGGATGGAAGTGTTTACACACCTACGGTGGACAAATAACATCATGAGGAGCTCAACAACCCCTATTCCACGCCACAATTCCACTATTTTCTTTTAAACTGCCCCCGCTTAATCCATCTGACAAAGTAGTATGAATCCCTCCCTCGTAATGCGTTAACTGAGATGTATTTTTCTTGAAAACTACAACGCTGTTCAAATAATTTCACACGCTAACCTTGAAACTCACAATCGACCAATTGTCAGCTGTCCTTGCTTCTTAAAATAAAGATTGGATTCCAGAACCATCCAGTGTTGTTCAGGCCCCTTTGACACCTCTTTAAGGAAATAAGGATTTCCAAATGTATTGAAATGTCTGGCTGGCAAAACCAGACCTTTCATTCTAAAGTGGAATTCTTTCAATATAAACCTCAACTATCAAACCACCTCAATGTCACACAAGACCACATATAAAACACCTTCAGTTTCTGTGTTTATGCTGCTATTTAATTCCACATTTCAATGGATGTAAAGTGCTTCCAGTACGACAACCGAAGGCTTTCATTATGATGTGGTTGGGCTCTTGGAAGAAGAAACTTTTAAAGTCTTCTAAAGTTCATTCATGCATATCAATGAAGCTAAAAACTCTTTAGAGATGAGCGCAACAAATCAAATACAAGAGAATCTGAGCACTTGATGTCATTTATCAACTCACATATGAGCTGTTTGCCCTGGACTGGGAGCAGATGGGAGCGAGTGGAGTGTAAAAAAACATATATTCTGTATTCTAAGAACACTTCTTAACATTCACACTGAGCTGAGAGACCCAGGATCCAGATGCATTCACTCATTCACCAGACATTCACTTTATTAAATCATTTGCGATGCCATTTATATCAGTACCTCCAAAAAAAAGGAAGTGCAAATCGTCCATTTTGAAAAAAAGAATTGATCTCATGAGTATTATTTTGACAAAATATCAACAAACAAAGTATTAACATAGCTGAAATTCATATGAAAATATAAAGGCAAATAAGATTTCTACCTGCAGAGACCTTATCAAATTACTTCCATTCCTTTTGACTCTCATTAAGAGGAATTAACATTTAGAGTTTGTCACAGATGCTTAGCCAGACGATATAAACACAGAACTACAATTGTTGTGATATTTGGATCAAAGTCAATAACGCAGATTTCTTTATAAGAAAGTAACAGAAACTGTGTTGAGGCAGCTTATCAGGGGGAAGGGGGGATAAAATGCAAATTCCCACTCATTAGAGTACCTTATAGTATGTATGTATTACATGTAAAAAGCTACTAGGCTTTATACGGAATGGTATGGCCATGTCTTCATGTGGACTTAGAGTCACCAATATACACAACTTATACACAACTTAAGTTAATTGAACTCCTACTCTGCTCACAGCCTAATAACATTTAGCAGTATAACCATAACCAACAATTAAATCAATTCAAATGAAGAACACGTGACAAACGGCTACACGAGGAAGGGCTGGCTAGCTGACCTAATTAAAAGAGACCGTCGATTGAATGGTAAAAAGGATTTTACTAACAGGAGGCGTCGGAGGGTCGGTAAAGTAAAGCTCCACCGAGGTTTGGTGCGTTCAGTTCTGCTTTGGGTGGAAGGAAAAGAAAGCCAATCCTGATCGGGAGGCCTGGACGTACTAATCAATTGGTAGAATATGTCATTCTGCATAATCGAGAGCAGGGACGGGTGGAAAAAACTAACATATAGATCCAAAAAAGATCCCAGTCCAGATCCATAAGCTGGTCAGACGAGGATATCCCTTTTCAGTCCTGAGGATAAATTCTTAATCCTATGGAGAAATAATTGTAGATGATGTTGGTCCTAAGTGGTTACTTGGATTGCTCTTAGATTTGAGATTTAGATTTTGCCCCCCTTTTTTGTCATTTGTTCTGTATTCTTTATAATTTCTTTAGTTAAAAATAAATAAATGCTCCGATGACTTCCAATAGGTCTGCAAAAACATTCAACGGAAAGGACTTTTTTTCCGTTTCTTTACTGTGTGTGTGTGTCAAGTTTTGTTGTGATTTTGATTTTTCCCTCAGTAATGCTCCACTTGAAAGAGCCCAGTCGGCAAGGAACAACTCAGAACAAGGATTTCCCCTTTTTGTTTTTATTGAAATTTGTTTTCTTGATTTGATTGGTGAAGGAGTCATTCAGGTTGAAAACCTTGAACACAACAGTAACAGGAGATATTGCGTAATTTCAAGTTTAAACAAACACAAATCATTCAAATATGAAAAATACAAATCCATAAAGTACTAATCTTTTACTAATTACACCTAACTTTGAATGCAACCAAACTAGCAATGCTTTAGCATTAAGTCAGCAAAAGTGCCAATAAACCTTTAAGATTTAGCATTAATCTCACATAAACAAATATATCCTGTTTAACATTTAACTTAAGTGAATAAGATATGCAAATAGTGGAGTGTCAAACAAAAGCACAAGTCAAACAAAGCCGTCAGGTTTGCCGTTCCAAACAATTGGACTGGTTTGAGTCACTAATTTAAACAACAAGCTGCATTGTCAAGCTTAAAAAAAACTTCAGACAAACTAGGCAAACAAATTAAGTGAAAATAATCAACTGAAAGCCAAGTCAGATGCCAACTCAGACCAAACATTTTACATGTGGAGCACATAGTTAAGCACAAGTTCATCCTTTCCACATTCCACAACAACAGGTGAGTAATTCAAGAAAGTCAAATCTCCTACCAGTTGTGCTTGACGGTGAACTGAGGGATTTTGGTTTTCTTGGTTTGGCTTGTTTCTTTAAACTTTTGCTCTCAACAAACTTTCCTCCATTGTCCTCCACAGAAGGAATGTCTTTTTGTCCTGTTTACAAGGTATTTTATTCATTCCCTTCTGTTCAGTGTGTTCTATTCTGCATTGGTTGTGCAGATCATAAATTAGAATCCATCAAGAAACTGACTTAGGCCTGACTTTTTCCTTTTTCCTTAAAAGACTGCAAGTCATTTGCCTATGTGTAGCATTTTAAATCCACATCGCTGTGCGTGTGATGGTAAAAGATCAGCATATGTGGTTCCTGACATTAAGCTCAAATGCCATTTAATGAGCTGACTTTTACTGTCACAATCTGGTAAAGTGGGTTACTCCTCCGAGGTCTCACGGCCTCTGGGGCCCCTGAAAGCTCCAGGTCTGCCCTGGTGGCTTAATTCCCACACATACATTTTTATTTGGCAAAAGGGAAGAGAAATAGACATCTTCGGCTGCTTTTAAAGCTGTCAAAATCCGCTTTTGAACGTTTTCCCCCTCCTGAAATAGAGAAGATAGATAGATAGATAGATAGATAGATAGATAGATAGATAGATAGA